TAAACCCCATGGGTTATATTCCCCCCTTGGGGCCCCCCCCCCCCTTGGTGGGGTATCGTCCCTTGTTTCCACCCCCCCCCCCCCCCCCCGTCCCCCCCCCCCCCCCCCCCCCCCCCGTCTTGTAGAGGAGGTAGATAGAAACCTAGGTACCCACAGGAACCGCCCAGCGGTCTTGACAAGAGGCGATGCGCGTAGTCACGACAGCGCGAGTACAAAATACATCTTGTCACGTGGTAGAGTCTTCTAGAGCAACAGGATAGACAAACAGTAGGTGAGCAACGTACAACGTACTAGCTATTCTAGTAAGTAGTGCCTGGTTGAAAATGTTTGAATCCTTTCTTGTCGGGTGCGGGTATGGGGAAACAGGTGAGGACGAGGACGTCAAATGCAAGAGGCATACCTACCGTATTCCTCTCTTTGTCGCATTTTGCTTTGACCCTTTCCCGATCCCGGGTATGAGAGCCCAAGAACTCGATAACTCCACACGCATGGGGATCTGACACGGAGAAGAGCCCGAAATGCTGGTTTCGAAGACCGTGTCTGCCCACGACGGACGTCCGGCCTCTTCTTTATCCCACCTTCGTGGAAATTCCACGGCCGCCTCTCCTAGTTCATCCACGGACTGTAAGCGAGCGCGAGATCTGGGACAAAGAAAGGGGTCGAGGCGAGGTTGCACGAGGCGACACATCACCCCGTGTACCGACGTACTGTACTGAGGAAGGGATTCTTATCGAGCCCCGTTTGGAGGGCGATGCTGTATTGAGAGAGGCATGGGATATGGAGGAAGAATCAATTTCATTTTGTGCTCATTAATTCCCAGACGTCTCCGACGGAACCCTTGATCTCCGAGGATACGATCCGCGATTGCCATGCCGTGGGAATCGTGAAAACTCCGCGAGACGCTGGTCTCGTTGATTCTTCTCGGATTTCCATTGCTTTGCAATTCGATGTCGATGCATGAATACCTGTACTGTATGGGGGAGACCGCGTGCCGCCAGATCACTCGTCAGCAAATGCACCGGTCAACTCAACCCCACGACCCAGAAAACCCTCGCACCACGATCATCCACGAAGCATGAAATTCCACAGCAAACAAGTTTTGGGCACGTCCAGAGTCCAGACCTACAAAGTAGCGGCGGGCATCATGGGATGCTTACCGATGTTGGCCCACCAGTGGCATGTACGGGACGGCCTCCAATCAGTATGTATGCTTTCACCCTGCAGAAGGAAAAATGCATGGCGCGCCTGGTGACGACAAAACGCCTCTTTCTTCCTCGCCTCTGGTCTCTTTCTTCCTCGACTAGGGCCGCACGTCGTGGTGAAAAGCAAACCTGTCTCTATCGCCCCGATCAGGCGAGGCAATTCCTACGTGAAGTCTCCGCCTCGATCCAGCCGGGTGCATGTCGAGGTTGGGGGTCGACCAGCGCATGAAGCGGCTCCTGGCTGCCGTGTGGAAAGACAGGAAGCCTCGTTCAATGGTGGAGAGCGTCTGGAGCTTCAGGAATCAAGTGTCGGTGAGCACCGAGGACTGAGCTGCGAACAGCGATGATGGAGCGGGCACTCATCATGCAGAGAGCCCTTATACGAAGTGAAGGGAAGTATCGCCAGATGGCGGTACCGACGATTCGACGACGAAGTAAAGTTACTGAAGTCTGAAGCTCGCGGGGACTCTGAGTAACGAGTAACTACTCTACGACCTGCTTTCTCTGCTCCTTTCTCTACTCCTTTCTCTGCTGCTTCTGCTCCTTCATTTCGTCTCGGCTGCTGTCCTTACTTCTCTGCTCCTTTCTCTGCCCCTTTCTCTGCTCCTTTCTCCGCTCCGGTTCATGAAGTCTGAGGGGTCCGTTTGGGCACGGAGGGAGGTACTGTACTGTACACATAACGCTAGGTCGTGGAGACTGGTTGGGATGTGATAGCCAGGGGTGACTCGTACCTCGTACCTCGTAAGTACTCCGTCCGTATGACGGTGGGGTTTAGTGGATGGCCGGGATGGGAGACCAAGGGTGGATCTGGCCCATCTGGGTGGTATTGTATGGGG